ATCCACTCGCTGTGCTCCATCCAACACCATCTTTTCCTTGGAGCTACGAACAACACCGGGCACACACTCCTTTGCGGCCGTCCACGGCATGTGCCTGCGGTGAGGATCCGGAGAAAGTCCCATTCCTTTTGTGCAAAAAGTGATGGAACTGCCGCCGTTAAGCGCGTCCTGGCGAGGGCAGCAACAGCCCGCCGCAGCACTCACGAATGCCCACCCGTTGATTCCTGCGCGAAAAAAATAGACAATGGAGGGGAAAGCGCGCACAAATGCCCCAGCAAAAAAGGTCAGCACCAGTGGATGAACACTGAAACCGTGGGTGCATTCTCCACAAATGTCTTTCCTTTTTTAGCCACCTTCTTAGTTGCATGGAAATGGCCCGCAAACGCACACGCAAGAAAACAAAGGTAAAATGCAAGCAGCGCAGCCGTTGAAACACACACACGTGCATCGTATGAAACGCTTCTTGGAAAGGAACGGAATGCAAGAAGAAGCGCACACAATTTCCACAGACACCCGCAATCGTGTGTGGTTGCTTCTGTTCCACTCTTTGGCCCTCGATGCATTCCTGTGCGTGTCCCGCACCTGAGTCACAGTGCCGTAGGATGCTAATTCCCTGCACAAACGCACCTCAGGACGCAGCGAGGTTTCCCCAAAGAACACATCACAGCCATACCTTTTGGATATCTCATGGACCGAGCGCCTCTCGCTGCAGGCCACACCACCCAAAACAAGCAGCACTATGCGCTGAGGAGTTGTGAGGGCAATCGTCCCAACATCACCGCCACACAGATCAGGATGATTCTCCCACTTGCCACCACACCCTTGAAATGGCCCGGCGGTTTTCCCTCATGCTCCACTGTTTTGACCACCACTCGCGCCATTTGGCCTCATCGCATGATCGCGCTGCACCGATGCCAACGACAGCTCAACCCGCAGCATCCTATTCCTGCCCGCCGTCTCCATCATCATACAGTTCTGCTTCAGAAAGGGATCCTCGTCCGTCGCGGCGTTGCTCGCAGAGGAACTCGTGCTCCGTCCGCCCTGCGCCGACGCCGTGCTGTATCGTTGCACGCTCCCGGCCCTCCTCGTCAGATGCTCAAGGTTCGCAAACAAATGGGCTTCGGGCGTCAGTCCACTGTCTCGGATCAGCTGCTGCTTCTTGGCCTCCGTCAACTCGTCGGTGCTGCTCGCAGTCACAAGCAACAGGAGAAGACGCAGTCGCACTGGCCGGGGCATCGCGGTATCCCTCGTCAGGTGCCGCACGCCATCCAGGTTTTTCCTGAGGTGTTTGTGCCCAGCGACGATGTCTTTTTCCACCTCCCGCACCTCCGCCAGTCGCTTCTCCCGGTACTGTGCCACAAGCCTCGCGCAAAAAATCGATGTGCAGCGACAGTCTGGCTTGCCTCTCCCGAAACTCCGGCTGAGCCCACACCGCACTGCTCAACTCCGCAAGATTGGCCTTCGGCTCCACGCCCTGCGCCAATCCAGGATGATACGCATGGAGTTTTTTCAGCGTCACCGAAGGCTCCTACACGCAGTGCGCAAGAAAACAATGACGGTAGGAGCACCAGTATACATCTTCCTCATCAATTACTGCCGCTTCGAGTCCTCACCCAGACGATTCCTACGGGTCTGCTCATACAATTTATTCTCCAGCGGCATCAGGTCATCAAGCAGACACTGACATGTGCGTTGGTGCATCAGCGGCGTCACCGTGACACAGCCCCAATCAACGATGATCCGCACCGGGTTGCCGCGGCTGTCGGCGCCACTAAGCGAAATCCGGCTCGTCGTGGCAGAGCCTGAAAAGCCCTCAAAAAAGGTCCTGGCAAACCCATGGCAGATGCTGCCTCCGTTTTGGTGGCGAATAACAGGCACACCGTTGTTCATGGCGTGAAAAGCCGCCACAATAAGTGACTCAGCAGCGTTCAAAACGGACTCTCGAGTCGGCGGCGACAGTGGCGACAGCAGCTGAGGGAGCCCATTCTGCATGCTGGGGTGGAACACCAGCACTTCAGTGGCGGCGAAGTCTAACATACTGTCCTTGGAAAGCATCGCCCTCGGCGCTATCCGAGCCCGCACCAGTTGAAGGCGGCGATGCGGGGTGCACCCCAACGCAAAGATGTGTGCATCCCTGTGCGGGACCTTTGCCATCCAATCCTCAGCCACGCGGCTCACAGACGCATCCTCCACGGCAAAAAAGTAGCGCGCAGGGCTGCTGATAATCGGCTGCCGCGGCGTCATAAGGTCCCCGAGCAGCGTCACGCCGTGCTCCATGAGATCATGGAGACGCAGTGAGCAGTTTAGCACAGCCGCAGCATGGGCATCGCAGTAATAAACTTTGGACAATCCATGAACGACGTCAAGCATCTGATGGAACATATGATCCCGCGCACAACCACAAACGCCATTGCTGGGCTCACGCGGCTGCCCGCTTCCGACGGCCTTGCTCGCACCAACCCGCCCCGCATACCATGTCAAGTAGAAGTCACACAGACAATGTGCTTGGATATGCGTGTGTGTGTCTTGTGTGCGCACATTTGACTCGCATCGTTTTTTGTGTATGTGCGTCTCAGAAAATCTAACAAGCACACAAGCAATGCCATACGACCATACGGTGGCCCCACATCGGCAACCAACACAAGAAGAGCAGTGCTCATCGGAAGTAACACCAATTTCAAACACAATGTCAGACGGAGTACACACAGCACATGCATATGGAGAAAGGGACCCATTGAAATGGATCGTTTTCTATTGGGCTTCCAGTGCTGATTGCAGGCCGCGCAGAAGGAAGCGCAGTCCCCTTGCAGCGAAACGCCGACCACACCGCAAATCGATAGAGTGTTGCCACGGCGGCGGCAGAGACAAGCAGAAGAAGCAGCGGACAGGGACAAGCAGCAGCAACAGTGTCATCACCGGGAGTCGGGGACGGGCCTGCTCGCCGTCCGTCTCGCTGCTTCGATCCCTGCCGCCGAGAGAAGCTTCTCGCGGTCTGTCGGGGTATCCTGGCCGGATCCACTTCTCCTCTTTCAACGGATGTTTCTGGGGAACAGCCGTGTCTACATCCTTCGGTGGTGTGCCGTGGTCGGTCTCAATGTTCCCCGCAACGGTGACGGATGCCCCTGGCAATCCTTGTTCAGTAGATGCCGGTGAAACCGTCCTGCTCCACATGCTCTCTCCTCGCCGTCCCACGGAACCACCGGAAGTAGGCTGCCGCTGGTGGCGGATATCGTGCACACCTGCGCGTGGTCACGGAAAATAGCGTTTCCCCCAGCGCAGGGTCGAGCGGCCCACGCAATCGTCGCCCCGTCCGTGCATGGGACCAACGGACGTTGCCCTTTTCAGTCACTTCCAAATGCACCTGCATACTGAGGCACCTCAATGCCGCATGCGCTACAGCACTCAGATGTATGTCTCCTCCGGGTTCCTCGCATCCGTCGTGTTGGTGGAAAGCGTGTCCAGACACCACGAAGAGGGCTCATCCCCAGGCACCGCAGACAAATATTCTCCCCTCCAAATAACAGCCTCAACATCCCTCACATCCAGTGCGGGATCACTGATGGGGCAACTGTCCATCGGGCGTTTTGCTGACATTTCATGGATACTCCGTCTACACCAACCGCTGGAATACCGTTCCGACGCGCAGCATCTGGTAGAAACGCCCAATGCGCAAAGCATGTAGCAATATTCACTCATGTTCAGTGCGGAGCGCTTCCTCTGCAGCAGCCGGCACAACCAATCAGTGCCATCCGCTCATCCCTCGCGTGGCGCTGCCACCAGTGCGACTCCAGCGTCCTCCCGCTCCCATCGTCATCCTGCAGCTCCATGCCATCAATGTCGTCGCAGTCGTGGTGCTCCCCTGCAGGCATCGCGGAAGTCGCCGAGTGCACCACCACCGACAGCGCTCTGCCACGCACACCGGCAACATGCCTCACCGTGCTGCGGCTGGCCATGTGCGGGTGGGTGAACCGAATGCAAACGCTGCCCGTGGCAAATGAGGACACAGTCAGCGGACCCTCCAGTGGCCGGACGAGCAGACGATCCGCATGCGGGTTTACAGCAGCAGGGACAGTCTCCTCGGTAAGGATGTTCTCGTGCGCAAAGGTCAAAGCACCATTCTTACAGCCAAACGCGCCGTCCAAAGAATTTACTGCGCAACGCCAAAAGAAGCCGCAGTCCTTCCTGATGTCACACAAGTCTTTTTTTGACTTCTTGATGCGGATGGGCACCTGTCGGTCCTTCCAGACCCCGCTGCACACCCGCAATGCATCCTGCACCCTGAGATGCATTTTCCTCACCGTAAACGAGATAAACCTCGCTGTGGGAGCGCACCACATCGTCTCGAAATAAGGAATACTTCAGGATGAAAGCAGGACACCCGCCGACAAATCACATCGCACAGATCATCAATAGCAGCACCAGAGGCGATGCAGACCGCATGGTGACGTGAATCAACCGACGCACGCCAAAAGTCAAAGACAATCTTAATGACTTTAAAAGAATACAAGAAACTGGCGCTTCCTCAACAAAAACAAAAACATAGAAAAATAAAAACAAAAATCCAGTGTCCGCATCCAAAGCATGCAGCCGATCAGAAAGTGAAATGTGTGCACTCAACCACAACACAATAAAAACAATAAAACAAGAACAAGGAAACGAAGCGTGGGACGACCAGCGCACACACTCTCATTACTGCCGTAAAGCAAAACACACACACAGAGGGAGAGAGAGAGAGGTCGCCCACTCAATGCAATAAAAACAAAACAGAAACAGTTACGGTGCTCCGTCCATGCAGCCAGGCAGGACGGCAGCGGTGCGTGTCGTGCAAAAGAGAGCACCAGCGGGCCTGCATGGGTGTGCATGCATATATACAATGGGCACATTATTGTGTGTGCCTCGTGGGGTGAGGTGAGGGCGAGAGTCCATGCAAGGGGACACACACAGAGAGAGAGAAGGAAGAGTGTGTGTGCGGGCGGTGCATGGCTCTCTCACACTCACTCTCACGCGGCCACCACCGCAGCCGCAGCCGCAGCCGCAACAACAAGAAGAAGCAAAAGAGGGGAGGTGGTGTGGGAGACCGCGGTGCTGCCGTCACTGTCGCCAGTTGTCGTCGTGTCATTTGTTTTGGCGACGGTGATTGTTTCTGGTGTTTTTTGTGCAGTCTCACTGAATGTAGGAGCAACGTTGGTATTACCATCTTCGATTCCGTCTTGTGGTTCTTTGGTGTTAGGCCGTTGATCACTGTCGTCAACCTTGTCCTCCCTTTTCTGGGTTCCACCAATGCCGCTTTTAGATACAGATGATACTGCTGTTTCCGCTGGAAGACTTGTAGGTCCATCCTTCATCGAGTCTGGTGTTTCTGCGTCTTCTCTGTGCTGGTTTGGCTCACCATTTCCTGAAGGTGTTTCTGCTGCTTCAGGCGCCGTTTTACTGTGGGACGGTGACGTCGTGCTTGTTGTCTCAGCTGCATTCTGCGAGCCTGTTAATGCTGGTGGGCCTGTTTCTTCTGCTGGTTTTCCATTTGTTGGTGGACCTGGTGGAGTTTCTGACGGGGTTTCTTGTCCCTCTCTTTCCGGTGGAATCGGTGTTGACGGTGTTCCTGGTGCCGATGTTAATTTCGATGTTTCTCCATCTTTCGTTAAACTTTTTTGTGTCTCTGTTTGCTCCGTACTTCTTGTGTCCTTTTCAGCCTTTCCTTTTCCTTTTCCATCTTCCTTTTCTTCATCCTCATCCATATCTTCTTCCAATTCGAGAGGGTTTGTTGTAGATTTTAGGGCCAAACCGTTTTGTTGAGTTGCAATCATTCCTTCTTGTGGTTCATGTGTATCTGTTTTATCAACTGAAGGATCATCTTTTAAACTCTCGGATTTATTTTCTTTTTCCAATTCAGCAGGAACAGCATCATCGGCCACAATCCCGCCGGCACCGCACCACAGCACGCAGAGGGCACACACCAGCAGCACACGGCCAGTCATCATCATCACTCCTGTCACTTGCGTGCAGCCTTCAGCACAAACTAACAACACGTCAACGCAGAGTGAAAGACACAAACGCTACACCGCAAAACCACCGCACAGTCACAAATGGCAGCAGCTGAGCAGCAGCAGCGCACACCACGAGATAAATGAAATCAGTACAATTGCAGAACCTTCAAACAGCCCTGCAAACCAGAAGTCTAAAAGCAAGCAATAAAAAACAGTAATTAAAAAAAGAAAAGAAAACTACACTCAGGGTTCTGCTGCGCATCCATATGAGTGCGTCCGCGATGCGTTCAACATGACGGATGTGGGGCACAACGCGGAGCACACAGCAGCTGGGCAGCAGAAGCAAACAAAGCAAAAAACAATCGTTACTCTTACTTTATACATCGGACCACGGGGACGCACACATGTCCCCGCGGTTGAGTGCTGGCACGCACAGCCCGCACACACCTCTTCAGCCCATAGTGGTGTACGCCAGCGCGCATACTGCGAGCACCAGCGGGGCACACACCCACGCAGAGCTGCTGAGGCTGCCGTCGATTTCGCGAAGACGTGACGGTGCGCGGGTCGTCGTCGTGGTTGGCGTCTCCGTACTCGTAGTACTTGGTGCTTGTGTTGTGGTGGCTGGCGCAGTGGTGGTGGTCGTAGTAGTTGGTGCGCGTGTTGTAGTCGTCGTGGTCGTTGTATTTGGCATCTGTAACTCAACGTTGTCCTCTTGACCCTTTGGGGAGGCAGATTCCTCATTTCGTAAACCTCTCTCAGCGGTCCTCTCATTTTCCAGTCCCGCATGAGTGTCCGTACCTAAATCCTGACTCATATCGGCATCGACTTCCTCTTCGGGCTGAGGGGACAACGAAATCGAGCCGGCTGATTCGTCGCCATCAGTATCCCCTGCGCACACGGACGGGCAGCAGCACAGGGCGAGCACCAACAGGGCGCACAGCAGACGGCATGTCATCATCGTGAGTGTGGTCGTTCAGTGGTGTGGAGCTGATCTGCACAGTGAGGGAAATGGAGAGCAACAGGGGAGACGAGAGGTGCGGCACACACACACAGAGAACACACCACACGAGGGGAGGGCAGCAGCCAGGCATGCACCGTACGCCGCACACCACGCACGACACACACTCCAATCCACGGCAGTAGGCACACACACACACACAGCCCTGCCGCACCACCAACACACAGATGGAAGAGGGAGAAGCAAACAGGAGCGGCACACAAGGCTCCACCGCATGCACATGCGGCGAGAGCGGTCCGTCGTGCCTGCAGCCCTCACGGAGGGTGCGCACACACACAAGAGGAGGTGCAGCGCACACAGCAACACAAAAGCAAAGTAACAATTTAAAAAAGGAGATCCCCGCACACCACGTGGATTGTTGGTCCACGGGAAGTAAAGCCAATATTCATTTTTTTTTTTCTACTCTTAAAGGCGCGTCTAGCTATACAGTGCCATCTGAGTGCCGAAGAGGTGGTCGAGCAACGACAAAAGTTTCCTGCTATGAAGCAACTGCCATTGAGAGAACTTTCCGAGGCGAAGGTCCTGTTCAATGCCCAGCCGTTGGCACACAGCCAAGGTGCCTGGACATTCTAGAAGCAGATGGTGCAAGGTTTCCTGCGGGCCGATTGGCGTGCTTGTGGAAGCTGGCTGATCCTGCGGCAGCAGAGATCGCCTCCTGGCACGGCTGTTTCGATGCCGTGTGGCGTCTGGGTTGTGTGCGCAGCGACTTCTGTGCGGTGCGGTGCTTCTCCGTGTGGGGAAGACCATGTCACAGAAATCACATTTGAGCTCGGGAGGCGGTGGGGGATGTTCCGGATGAAATGACCGACAGTGACTGACGAGACCCGAGAATCCCGTCAATGTGGAATCACAGTGCGGACATTTCTCCTTCCGACGGCGTGTGAGGGTCCGTCTGCTTACTGGAGAGACGTCTTCCTCCCTCGCCGACGGGGGAACAGTGTCCGTCCCCGGTGCATTTGGATCGTTGTTAGAGCGCATATATGCAGACTGTTCCGGTGGGATGTTGCAGAATCGGCATTGGTTTGTGCAATCTCTCACGGCCCAGTATAGTCGGCCCCAGAGCTCAGATTCCCCGCACCTTGCCCTTGCGAGGTGAACCAGTTCCTGACGGTGTAGAACTTCCTGAGTGATCAGGTCCTTACCGCTGAGATCGGATGGCCTTGTGCCGCAAAGCAAGTAGCGATGAGTGTCTTGACGAATGGTACCACGCCACTTGTTGGTGAGCTGTGTAGTAAAACATGTCAGCAGATCCGTATGCCATAAAGGTGCGATTCCTTGCTCCGTGTATTGTCCGGTTGCCATAGTCTGCGTCGCATACTGATCTGCAAGCTCGTTAGCATGTGCTCCGCAATGTCCGTAACAAAACTGCAGGTGCACGGACCAGCCAGCACGCGTCAGTGTCAAGAGACGCTGCCAGATCTGATCCTACGTCCAGTCTGTCTGACTGAGCGGGCCCTTGTTTAGAGCCGCTAGAAGAGACTGACTGTCCGTAACCACAAGCAGGGTTTTCCGCCTGTGGCGGATGCGAGGGATCATCAGCTTCTCTAGGGCTAGAAGCAGCGCACGGGATTCCGTCCTGTAGCTGCATGGGCGTGCACCGCAGTTTATGCTGGCCTTTTCTATTATCTCCGATGAGTTGGGGGATGAAAGCAGTATTCCAACCCCTGCTGACTTGCGAACGTCGACACCGCCATCGGTCGCAAGTATCTACGAACGATGGCTGTGCAGCGCCAGAGCCTCTTCGCTGACTCTGCGCTTTTCCCGTATCAGCTCTTCTTCGTCAGCTATTGAGTGGTCTATCGGAAGTTCCACACCGATGGTGGCCCGGTGAGCGGAGGCCGCAAACCAGGGAGGAATGGAGCTGCGAAAGAACCGCTCTTCGCGTGGTGAGCTCTCGGTGATGCCATAGTCCTTTGTGTATGCGTCTACGAAGGCATATGGCTCGTCCCGAGATAATGACGAGATGCGGAAACCAGCGCGAGGCGGTGGCTCAGGCGGGGGTTTCCGCATCCAGTCCATCTGACATGCGCGTGTGTTCTCAAATATTGAGAGCCGCGCGCGCAGGCAAAGGACGTGGAGCGGCGGCATATTAGCCTCCAGCAGTGCGGATTCCGGGTCGACAGTGCTCGGAACTCCGCTGACAATGCGTGCTAGAGTTGCGTACGTCTTCTGCATCTCATTCCTCGCTGAATCCGTCGCTACTGCCCATATGAGCTCGCTGCCATAGCGTAATTTGGAAGCACCGTATCCAATGACGAACGTGCGTAGGTCATGTGGAGATGGTCCCGCCTCTTTGTGCGCTATGCAGCGTAGCTGCGATATCCGTTGCGAAGTGGCAGCGCATTGCTTGGTGGCCGCCACATTTAGCGTCAGTCGTGGAACGAGATCCATGCCGAGAAGCTTCGTAGTTCGCGATACCCCTATGGCCATGACTGGGATTTGACATCCAGCCACTACCAGGGGCCGCTTTCCTTCACGATCATAATCTGACTCCGTGTGCGTGGAGAGTGTGAACCAAGCGGCTTCACACTTTGACGGGTTGATAGCCAGGCCATTTTCCTGACTCCACGCATGCAGTTTTTGAAGAACCATGTTGGCAGTGGGAATGGCGTCTTCCCGGGACTGCCCCTTAACGATAATAGAGAGGTCGTCCGCATACATGTCTGCTGTGACACCCGCAAAGCTGTTCAGCAGATTGAGAAGTGGGTGTACGTAAAGGGAGAACAAATACGGTCCCAGCACGGACCCCTGAGGGGCTCCTCGCAGCATGGGACGCCGATCGCTGTGTCTGTGGCCAACTCGTGTCTTCGCGTAGCGACCACATAGAAAGTTTCTAAGCCACCTTCTACAATCCACCCCCGGAATATTAGCCAGCAAGCGACTGAGGACTCGATGATCTATGGAGTCAAAAGCCTTGCTGAAGTCAACCAGCACCAGCAGGGTCCGATGGGGTCTGTAGTGGAGTTGATTGCCAATACCGCTCTTCTTGGGAAGGTTCACTTGGAAATAGTGATTTCTATTATGCTCCACTTCGTGTATCAGGTGTGCCAGCTGCATCGTCGTAGTACGCGTACTACGACGATGCATACTGGTGGGGGTGCGGCGTCCACACCCAAAGCAATCTCTTCAGTACCATTTTCTCAGCAACCTTACTCACAATGGAGGTAAGGCTGATGGGTCGATATGACTCAAGCAGTTCCGGCGACTTACCGGGTTTTAAGAGCGGAACGATGGTAGCGCGTCTCCACTCAACCGGAATCGTACCGGTCGTCCAGCTGTGGTTAATGCAACGAAGAAGGAATCGGAGGCCCTTTGACGAAATATGTCGCAGTGCCTCACTGTAGACTTCATCCGGTCCGGGGGCCTTGCCATACGGCGTATTACGTAGCGCAGCAAGCAGTTCCGTACGATTAAAAGGTGCATCAAGAGGGGAGTGAAGATGAGCAACTAAACCAGATGTGGTGGCAGCTTCGTTTTTATCCTGTGGCTCAGAACTAGATGAGAGTGAAGAACCTGAAGTAGACGTAGCGGCAGACTCGTTGTTGTTCTGCGGCTCAGAAATACAAGAAGAACCAACGTTCAAAGATGCACTCTGTCTGTTGATGCCTTTGGAAAACCTAACTGCCTTGTGAGAGGGGTGAAATGGAAGAAAGATGCGATTGAGAGCATTCGCTGCTCTCCTTGCTGTTTTATAAGTGTGTTGGCCACCTCCCAATAACATTGATGTGAGAGATGGAAGTGATGCCTTTTTTCGTCCGGAAATGTATTTCCATGCGAGTGGCTCGCCTGGATTTAACTTGCTGATGCGGCGTAGATACGTGTTGCGCAAGCGCTCTCGGAGTAGGAGGAAGAATTGACTCCTTGTCCGTTGCATTTCTGCCTCACGGTCGGGCGTCGGTAACTGTAGATAGCAGGCCTTGCTGTCGGTAGCCATCCGCTCTGCCTCCATGAGAGTGTCGTCCCAAAGCCTGGGACCGTCCTTGTGCATGCCGCGGGGGCAATGCCGTCGATAAGAAGTTATAAGCGCTCTCGTGAAAGCTTTAATGCCGGTGGACTGCTTTTTATAGTCGTATGCCGGAAGTTGTGCGTCGAAGTCCTTGACGAATAAATCCCACTTGCACTTCCCCCAACTGTAGAAAAACTTAGGTGCCGAAGGTATGGTATCCTTAAATGCCTGATGCGGCGTAAATGTCAGCATATAATGATCACTGAGCGGCGACACAGAGGCTGACCAATCTGACACAGTCAAATGCTTTGACCATGTCAGATCGATACAGGATCGTTCTCTTGTGCCACGGGCATACGTGATCTCACCAGGGGTGTTAACCAAGGTGAGTCCCGCATCCGTGCACAGTTCTAAAAATTCTGCAGCAACCTCGCTTGGAGAAGTCTCCAAGAATGGCTCCCACTGTGGGTGATGCATGTTGAAATCCCCGCACAGCAGGAGCGGCGACGAGGCTGGAAGGCAGTTTACTAACCGCCTGAAGGATTGCGTTACTTGCGGTGGTGGTCTCATATAGGCAGTCGCTACAATAAGATCACGGTTCTGGCCCAGAGCAACCTGGACCACCACCACTTCAAGGCTGGTGTCATGCTGGGGGATGGCGAGAGGTATACGCTTGGAGCGGAGAGTTTTCCGCACCAGCACCGCCACACCGCCTCCCTTGCGGATGCGCGACTGTGCATAGAGCACATAATCTCCAGTGTGCATGCTGGCGATCTGCTCTGACGACTTCCAAGTCTCCTGAATGGCTATTATGTCTGCTCCTTGCGCCATTAATGTTGCGAGTTTTGACGGCGTGAGGCAAGAAACGTTCATCTGGAGTACTGCTATGGGGCCTGGGTTCTGCTCAATGTCTCCGCTTAGCAGTAGCTTTTGTTGTTGCGCGTCACATACGGCACGCAAACGGTATGTATAGCGCTGATAAGCGCCGATGGAA